TAGATCTGTTTGATTTTGGTGCAGCTGTTAATGTATTGATCCTGATATAAGGTACTTAATCATTCTATCATGTTTATCTGCATTTTACACTCTTCTTTCCATCTCTGATACAAGGTACTTAATCATAGCAGATATATGCTATAATTATCTGCGTATCTGCGTTGTACACCCTTCTGCATTAGGTTCTTTGTAATTATTCTGGAATCTGTTTGTTCTTTCCTCAATCCTTTATTTTATAATAAATCTGATGTATGCTATGGTTGTTTATTCTGTTTTTGCCATAGAGCAAAGGAGCATCTGAAAAGGTGGCAGTCTTGAGAGTATGTACCATTTTCTTGTCAATAATTCTTTTATGAATTGGCTATTGTCGATTTTTTTGCTTAAACGACTTTTTTATCAGCACCCTTTTGATTTTCATGTTTAGAAGAGATTTTTTTTTTTCAGTTTTTTGTTTCAAAATAGTTCGGACAATTTTTGATATTTTTAGGTTCTTTGGGGGTGCTAAGTTGAGAATACTCTAATTATTGTAGACAACTCTTTTATGGGCTTACTTTCAATTTTTCCAGATGTATCAGAGCCTTTTTTTCCTCTTTTCTGGAGAACTCTGCTGTTTTTTTTTTTTGGGATGAAAAAAGGAATACTTTTTTATGCTTCTAATTTCCTAATGTGATACTTATGCCTTTCAAAAGGAATACTTTTTTTTTTTGCTTCTAATTTCCTCTCATTTCGTTGATGCTTCTTTCATTGTTGGATCTCATTCTTTTATTCTCATTACTTCACTGCTTTTTTTTTTTTAGTACTCTAATATCTAAATTAGGATTTAGGCAATTGATAAAGCTAACTTGGACTGCGAAAATTGTTGGGTAAGTTTCCAGCATTTGCAAACTTTTTGAGCCTTTCAATGGATTTCTAGCGTAATGTGATTGGCAGAGTAGGATGCTTTTAACCTGTGCTTAGGAATTATTGTTGATGATAATACTATTGTATCCGATATTAGATGAGAATACTATTATGTTTACTACAATTTCCATGACTTTTGTGTTGTACTTTAGTTTGTTTTAGATTGTTAACCTTCAAATTACTTGACCTTGAGATGAATTTTTTTATGGTACAGCATCTTTTACAATTTCATGAAAATATGTAGTCCAGTAGGTAAAACCAGGGGAGGGGGGGCATACTTAATATTTCTTCCGTAACATTAGAATTATTTTGTAAATGAGTTTCTGTCTATAAAATCCTCTGTTCAGGAAAAAAAATCATGATTATCCTTTTCAACTTCTGGAAATGAAATTCTTGTTACTTTAAAGGTAATACATGATTATGAATTATATAATATAATCCCCTTAATTGTAGCCTCCATTCACTACATTCATTTGTCGAATTTTGCATCATATTGACATAACACAAAACCTAAAATGTTACCTACATGTCATACAATTATTCTTCTCTAAATTCATTCCTCGTTCTTCGATCTTTTTCACCCTTTTCAATTTAACAGCATATAATTTTCCCTTGGTTGGCACCTTATTATCCTCAAACTGTGTGTAGGACGGTTCTTCATCTCCTATTACAGTTAGTTAAAGGCACAACAAAGACAGGATTTGAAAAGAAAAAGATGTACTTGAAAAAGCCCTTCTGGAATGCCAGCTCAGCCTCGGAGCCTGAGACTCAGCCTGAATCTGCAGTGGTGGAACTGGTCAACTCGCTGGACCAGCAAAGACTCCACAGAGAAGTCACACTTGCACTCCGAACCGGACTCAGAGAAGCCCGGGCGGAGTTCTCATTCCTCCGAGTGAGGGGCCTCCGCAGCATCCTCAAATTCCTCCGATGCGTGGCAGAGTCTGACTCCACCATCAACCTCTTCTCCAGCACCCAGTCCATACCTGAACTCCAAGGTAAAGCCCAATTCTTCATTCTTCCTGATATAATTAGGTGCAATTCTGCCAAAAAAAAAAAAGAAAAAGTATTCTTGGTAGCAAATGTGAATGCAGACTAATGCAGCATTTGGTTTTCTGGATTTATATATTTTTTTAAAAAAATTAGTGGTACCGGTGCTATTCCAACATTCCCTAAAAGATTTGGAGGATCAGACAGTGACGAATGTGGAACACATATTCAGTGTAGAGGCGATAAAGATTACTAGTCCTTCCATGGATGATGAGGTAGCTCTTGCCCTGAGAGTTCTTGAAGGCTGCTGTCTCCTCCACCCTCCCAGCACTATTTTAGCCCATCAGCACAATGCCATTCCGGTATATAAATCTTCTTATATAAGACAATATTTTTCTACTTATCATCATTTTTATCTCCTCGTAATCGTGTGTCAGTTGATTTAGAAACTAGATTTGTCTTCCGAAGGTTATGACATGTAATATATGTGATTGAGCTCTACCTTTGCCAACTTGTCTTTCCAATCGAACATAATTAGCTGCAAGATTTTACCAGCTAGGATTTCAGGTTAATTATATTTTGACCCCACTACTGCACTTTCTATATAATGCAATTACACCTTGAGTTGTTGGATGCTCCTGTTACGTGGTTTCTAGCTCAGCTACTTTCTATTTCCAACACGGTCAACTAATTCTGAAACTATGATCTTCATGATTCAGAAATGTTCTTCTTTTGAGTAGTATGTTCTTTGAGCTTTAGGAAAACTTGCCTCTTTATTGTAATTTGTTATAATTCTAAATCATCTTTAAAAGGTTGAAATCTCGACCTTTAAGCCACTTTTGCAATGTAATTTTTTTTTCCCATACTTTCAGGTTCTAATGAATATATTGTCAACTCGTGGTGTGCTCGAACAAGGTGCATGTTTAGATGCTCTAATCTCAATAATGCTGGATTCATCAGCCAATCAAATGGTATTTACTTTGCAATTTGTTGCTCATTCTATCATTGATACAACTTGGAGTAGGCGTGGCTTTGGATAGCCTGAATGTCCTCATTCAGTGAAAGTATCTTGGTAATTAGCCTCTTTTGAACCTCTTTGCAATAGTTTAGCCCATGGCAAAAAAATTAATCTTTTTCAGTTTAAGGTCTTGCTAAACCTAGAAGTAAATGATAGTGTGCGGGGAAAATTGAGCTCCACTACCAGGTGCACTGTGCTTTCCCTTGTCCACAAGTACTGTTGCTATACTAGGAAAAACTATTTGCTGCAGCCTGATGGAGAGGACCGGAGAGGGGATTGTTGTTGTTACGAGGGAAAAGCTTCTTTAGCTGCTGGACTTCTAGCCTTAACAAAGTGCAAATCCACTTAATTCTCCTTTCCTTTTCTACATATAGTTGCTTTCTAGTAGATTATGAAATCCAGAACTTATCGCCTCTCTGATCCTGAATAAATAAGTACTACTTTTGTTCTGTTCATATGCTTACGTGACACATTTTTGGTGAATTATATACCAGGATTTTGAGAGGTGCAATGGGATCGAGGAAGTTGCTGTACTGATACGAGATCAACAAATAGATGAAATTCTAAGGTACCTCTTTAAGTTGGACCTCAGTAGCGTGCATGCTTGTGTAATCTTCACCAGCATGATCTTCAATATTCAAGTTGATATTCCTCTTTGCATGACAACAACAATGGATTGTATTTGTTGGTTGGTAATAAGAATAAGAAAAGTTTAGAAACTTTGGTACGACTTAGAAACTTTTTGCCCTGGTTATGACATCTTTTTCCACTCAGACTCATGTTGTTTTTATATGAAGACGACTTGTTAAAATTGGGATGTAGCTTTCATCTCTTTTTTTCTTACCTCTCTTTTTCTAATCCCCCCTTCACTTAGGAATCGGACCTACTGACATGGTAATTTAGTGACTGCCATACCAAAGTTGACAGAAATTGCTCTGTGCCAACTTGATTTCCTTTGTTTCGTTCTTTAGATGTATGTGAGCTTTTCTTTCTTTGGCTAGGCTGAAATGTGGAGAGTTCCTGTTGCTTCTTATTGGACATGTAGATGGGAGAGATAAGCCTCCCATGGCAAGCATACACGAAGACGTAAGGCGATTTCTTGGGGAAAAATCCGCCTCATTGATATGGGCCGCTAGTCAGTTTGGCTCAACCCTTGATCCAGAGGAGAGATTGACAACTTTGCACATTCTAGCTCGCAGGGTGCTGGAGTCTATTGATCTTTATTGAAGCAATTACGGGCTGTTTTCAGATGTATCTTTAGCACAGTAAGACACGTCACTAAGGTCAAGCTTGGTATGCACTGTTAGTGTAAAAATGCAGCGTGTAGAGATTGATGGTGCTGTAAGTTTTGGTGAAAGTTACACATACAGCAGTTACTAATTTATTAATCTTGTGCCAAACTCACGTTATTAAGCTAAGAATGCGTGAATTTCATTTTTGTGTTCAATCCACCCGCATCCTGGGGACCTGGACTTTTATGCATTTGTCTATCAGTTATTTAACTGTCTGGTTCATGCAAGATCACTCCATCTGCCTGTTGAAGCATATAAAATTGCCAACATAACGTGGTTTTGTGTATTATTTGGCTTCAAATCATTGACTTTGCTTGATGCTAGTTCTCCAATCATGATATTTCCAGCACTCCAGATTACTACGGTTGGCTCCATTGGCATCTTCCGATTGACATCACATGCCTCATCAAGCCTCCCTGCTCGGCTCAGAAAGGTCAACTAAGCAAGTTTAGAGCTTTAGTGTGGGAAGCACATCAATCATAGTATGGTATCATGCTATAGAACTCTCGTCCTGCTTCAACTGATCCTAAATGGATGCACGAAGAAAGAGCAGACAGGAATGTATAGCATCTGGCTGAGTACCCCATTAACAAGCTATCTGCGGAAGAAGGCAATTCCTTCTTCATGAGTAGCATGGCAATTCCTCATGCTAGAACGAGCAACATCTTCTTACCTAGCTCTTTCAGTCCACCAGGATCGAGCGGATGGCACAAGATTCTTTCGAGCAGGTAAAATAGGAACAGAGGACTCCAACAGTGAGTCCTAGGCAGAAAATGAACCAAGTGCCATTCGAAAAGAAAGAATATAACATCAAGTACAACTTAATCATTCAAATTTGTATCTTGGGAGGAGGTTTCAAATTGTTTCCCACCCAAAAAAAGGGGGACAATGAAAAGAAAATCCACAAGTAAGAAACACACGAGCATTGGCTAATTTCTCTTTAAGTACATCAGTTCCAAAACACAAATCCAATGACCAGAACTTTACACCACGAAGATAAGATGATGGTGAGAATTATGCAAACAGTTGAATCTTGACCGTAGAAGCTTGTGTTTCATGTTGCTTACAGACATTAGAACCTTCAACGATTTGGTTCGACACGATATTACAGATATTAATATACTTTCTTCTGTTTCTTGTCCTGCCATTCTTTGATTTCTGAATCTATCCTTGTCTTCACACGAGCATGGAAACCAGGATATGGTTCATAGCCAAAGAAAGAGAGAGCCTATGAATTTCCAACAAATGAGAGTAATGCATCAGCCAAACCATTCAAGTATTGAAACATTTCTAGAATTTCCGGAAGTAATAAATTCACCTCAAACAATACAAAGAAAGGTGCCATGAGGAATGCTTGAGTGAGGTTGTCCAATAGAGCAGGCGCTCGATTCTACAAAATCACAAAGCTTAAACATAACTAAAAAAGAAAACAATTGCACAATTGGTGATGCATCAAATCATATGATGGTTCACCTCAAAAACTCCATGGCCAATGAACTGTCCGGTCCAACAAAATAACTGAGCTGCCAAAACAACCTGATAATATGTTTAATGAGATTAGAATCAATATCAATCACTTAGAAGACTGCTAAAATATATGATGACTATTAAACTATCATTAAGATCCTCAAACTGTCAAGTGTTAATTTGTAAAGCTTCAATTAGAACCTTGAAACACTATGTTGGATAAAATGTTCTTCCAGTTCTAAGTTCAACATCATATTTCTAAATTTGCAGTGTATGGACATGTTCAACAGGTTAGTTCTTTGAGTAGGATTCTGCTGGTCCAGGTAGAAGGTAACTTCGATACACAACTATCACAATAGAGGGGTAATTTGTTCCTTCTCGCTAGCTAACATGGATTTAGTCTGGGATTTTGTGTCTGTTCTGCTTACCAAGTACCAAACCATAAATTCAGCATGACTGTTGTGAACAGTTCTTGTTTAAAATTTCCTTGCACAACAAGTACAAATGCGCGCTCAATTACATTGAATGGTGAGTGCTAAAAAATCCTACCAAATCATTCTTAGAATCATCTACAGAACCAGATGCAACCTTTTACATAAAGTTTGATACCAGTAGCAAAATAGGCCTGTAATGCTATTTAACAAAATGAAGGATGCTACAATTTCAAAATTTATATGTTATTGTCTAAATAACCCAGCACAAGAGTTTCTTTTCTTATCCTCATCCCTCATCCAAAGAAGGTCCATTCTTTTATAACACACTTTTAGCATCTGCATATGTTTTTATATCGGAAACCAACTCCAGTAAATCCAGGAAGGAGTCTTGATTTTAAACATCGAATAAAGTTTCCAAAAGACAATTGAATCCAGAAGTACAAAATAAAATAATTTCTACTTTTCTAGGAATTATACATGTAAAAAAGGCAACATAATCATGACAGTACATTCTTGGCATTATAATAAGTTCTTCACAAGGTACAGAGAGAGGGAGAGAGAGAAGATTATTAACATATTCACATGAAAATTCAAAAGCCATGAGAGGCTGCCTTGGAGATCTGAACACGATTAAACCATTCTAAACAAGAATTTATGAATCCACAATAAGGTCCAATAACAACTAAGCACATCAGGACCAAATTGACAAGGAAATCAAAAACCATAATGATCAAAATGAAAAGCAAAAACCTGCTACAGTTATGAAATTTCTTGTAAAGTTGAAAGAGATAGCATGGCTAAGCCCCTGATCAAGGTGCTCTATTGGCATGTAAGATGAGCATGGAAATCTAAGCCTAAAACTTTTACGCCAGAGTCTAGCATTCAAGCAAAATGAAATCATGCTCATGCAGGATGCTTTTGAGTGCCCGTTAGCACCATGGGACCAAATTCTAGTTTATAAGATCCCATCTCTGGTGAAACAAACTGTTATATTAAGAAGAAAAACTTAAGAAATTCAGCAGAAGTGCTCATGTTTCTGCAAATATCTAGCTTGATTATAGTTGTCTGCTAGGGCTCCTGATCAAAAGTGTGCATTAAACTATGGCAGTCTACCAGAAACAATGAAATTATATAGCTAAGTAAAGATGGGCTATAATGTCAGCCAAAAAGACAGATTTAATGCCAATCCTTGAGTAGACAAAATGAATAACCCATCAAATGGGGACTCAACAAAAGGTGTAAAGTTTGACAGAAGAAACCCTCATCCTCTAAATTCCTTACTTCATTTTAATTAAGCCAATAGTCATAATTTTTAGCACTTTAACCTTGAAAATCAATACCTATTCCTTTTTCAATCTATAGCTCCAGGAGAATTTGAATGAAGTCCACCAAACAGTAAAGTGTACCATATCTTTGATCCATGTAAGACATAACTTCCCTGAAGTATACTTGCCTAAGAGATTTCTTACCAACTACAGACATGCTGCAGCAGCAAAAATAATAATAATAATAACAGCATGATCGTTTGAGAGAAAACCTGGTTAAGTCATTTAAGTCTTTAAGCCTCCCAAACTTCAAGTGAAGGGTAGTTCATGTAGTTCTTGGATAATCAAATAATTTTTCCCCAACCAAATTATTTCCCAAAATACATGGATGGAAAACACTGCCATGTGCAATGTCTCTTGCAGGTCACAAGCACGATTATTATCGTCCCAACCAAAAATCTCATGAACAGGTATTGAATCCGCTACAATTAGATTCTAAAGGGAAAGGCCCTCAACAGGAAAACACGGTGACAAGATTATTGGCTATAACTAATCTATTCAAATTTCTACAACAACCCACAATGTACATTACACTGCAAAAAGTAACCAATCATTCAGTCCCTGTTTCATTTCTCAGATGAAATGTACTAAGTTTTCTCTGGTTCTGAAACATATGATACCTCAGCTGTTCCTGCACAATATACAGTTCCCCTATCAACATCCCTAAAACATCTACACTATCTCAGCTCTAAAACTCGTACATATGTTTTAAATTCCAGCATATTCATCCTTCAAAAAACAGCTCTAAAACTATAGATAAGCCTACTAGGAAATCCTGAACGTATCCAACTAAACACCCCACAAGGAAATTGAAAGATATACTTTCAGAGAAATTCCAGGCAGCCAAAAATTAATTCATTCGTTTACACACTATTTTCATCCCAACATACAGATGGAAAAGAAAGAATTCAGAAACTACAGATATACCTAAAAACCACTAAGTCAAAAAGAAAAAGGTCCAAATAAGCATAAAACAACAGAACTCAAAGAAGACTTTCATTGAATTTGTACAAACAGCTAAAAATAAATCCATACCAGCAAGAAAAAGGATAAGAAAATATTGCATCTTTTTAACAGTACCTTCCAAGCCAGAGAGTACCCCAAGCGATAAGCAATAGAACTGCTGAAAACCCAACAAGCAAAACAAAGCAAAGCGGCCAAAGACCCAGCTTTCTTGTCCAAAGCCACATAGAACAGAGCATAAATCAAAGTAAACAAGAACCCAAAATTGAAAACCAACAAACTATGATCCCACAACACAATCGGAGGAACTGTCTTAAGAACTGATGGAGTAAAATAGAAAAGCATAAGAGCTGTGAAAAAGATTGGCCAAACAAACACCATGTGAATGAAGATATTCAGAGGATTGCTGTGGTATGCACCATAGAAAGCAAAGTGCTTCTCAAGATCAACCAATCCCATCTTTCTTTCCCTCTAATTTCTTGAATTGGGATTTTTTCCTTGAGCTTTTCAAAGATGGGTTTTTGGTATAAGAAGAGGTCGTTGACGAATGCGACCAATTTTGGCTTTTATTCTTCAGAGAGAAAGGGTAGACGCCAAGTTTCTAGAAAGCGTTCACACTCGCGGGTTCGTTGGCCCTGTCGTTTGGACCGAGGATTTGTTCAAGTTTCCGTGTGCCATCACTAGGAGGTTTTCCTAGCCCCTATAATCTGTTGCCATATATTTTCGTATATAATCAGATTAATAATAATATTTGTAAAATAGTATTCTTAAAATCATAAATTATCAATTAAATATGTGGCTAACAATATAAGACTAAACAAAATCAAAAAACCATCAACATTGCAAAAGATAAAAGAAGATGACAAAAGATTGGCAAGTAATTTTATAAATAGCTTACAGAGACGGGAGATGACATGGTGAACACTTAGTGTAAGTTAGTCTTACAGAGACGGGAGATGACATCATGAACACTTGATATAAAGTGTAATGATAAACTGCAATTACAAAATATCAAATATTGAGATCCATGAAGTTGCACAAAAGAACAATTTCTTAATGGATGTCAATATTGTGTCAAAAGATGTAGGTTTAGCAATTTAGATGTAAAGTGCTTCAAGATTAGCAACATTAGCAATTCAAAAAGCTTCAAGCAAGTTCAGAGTTCATTATCACGCTGCTTCTTCAAGGGACTTCCAGGTGCAAGATTAGTTGGATCGAAAGCTGAGAGTGCATTGGTGGGCAGTGAGGCAGGTGTATTAGCTTCAGCAGAATTTGATCCAATTTCAGGAGGTCCAGTTCCAAAAACCAAGACTCTCTTTGCTGTGGTCACTAGAGGCGGCACTTTGTTTGTAGTAGCAAAAGTTTCAGCGATGGTATCAAGCAGTTTTTTGGTTGACGGACTGAAAAATTCATTTTTGTTAACAGACTGCAGCACAATAGCATGTAGGTCTGGAATTTTTCATTCGTTTCTGCAGCTGTGATTGCCATTGGAATGTGAGCTGATTCCTTAGTAATGTATGCCTTGACAATATTATACTTGCCTTCCTTCTGGCCTAGATAATTTGCCTCATAGTAGCGGATGAAACACACAATTGAATGTTTTCCGATTGCAGATGCTAGTTCAGCGGAAAAGTTAAGCTCCTGCAATTTTTTGTTTTAAAGTATAAATAATTATCAAGTGTATCCTGAAATATTAGCTACTTCGTTGGAAGTAGAAGTTCTTATTGTAGATTTTGACTTGGGCAATGATATTCAAATTGTGAGTAACTTCATGTTGTGCAAAAAGAATTGGATCCCAATCATAAGTTATGGAAGGAAACAAAACATATTATACCAAAGACATTATGGAATTACCTACTTATGACACTAAGAACTGTCTTAGCTTCACCACAAAATATACAAGTATGGACAATTCACAAAGCACAATTGTAGAGCAAGTAAAGACTAATCGAATTGGCCATCCATAGTGGATTCCTTACCTGTTTTATTTATTTAATTTTTTTGTATACAAACCTGTAATGTTTTCAATGAAGTACGTAGCTATTGGTAAGAATTCATGCAACCCAACTTGTAGTGCATAGTTATATCAACGCAAATGAATAGGCTGTTTGATAAAGTACGATAAAAGATAAGTAATCCAATCTAACTTTTCTACTTTTCATGCAAATTAAATACAAGAAGGGGTTGGAAGAGGTAAGTTAATATCTTGTTTACAGGGTACCTCAATTGGACTCAAATCTCATACCCTTATCCAGAAAAATGTACCCATTAACAGCCATCATTATTTTTTTTTTGTTGACTACCATCACCTTCCTACTTTTGCTTTATGGGTTTTTTACAACTAAATTTCTAGTAAATTATCCTCACACAATAGCAAGAATTTGACAGTTTGTGGCCTCAGTAACTAACAGAAAAGACTACAAGCATGAAAGTTTAAATCTGCAAGCAAACCAATTACTCTATATTATATGGTTGTTTATATACTCTTATGCAAACAATAGCAGACAATCAAATGAATAGAAAATAACTACAGAACAAAGGTAAAACTAACTGGACACATGACTAATTAAAGCTTAAGGAATTAAGCATATAGAGCCACCACAGTCTAATAACAAAAGCGTAAAAAATCTTGAACTAAGGAGACAATATAGCTAACTACAGAGTTTTTTTGAAAAAAGGAAAGTAGAACTTATTTATATAATATAAAAGTCAGACTGAAGCATTAGACATACCTGGCAACAGTAACAATAAATCAGAGAGGGAAACGTATAAAGCTCTGCGTCTAGGATGAAGTGTAGATTATCCAAGCAACAAAATACAAGGAAAAAGACATATCAGGGAAAGAACATGAACAAAAAAGGGCAAAGGAAAACAGCAAATGTTCATTCTTGCATTAGTTTGCTATATGAAATGTTGCACTATAGAGTTGTTATCAGTGAACACATAGAAGTCCTAGTCATTGAGTCTTGACAAAAAACTATATGGCTGTCTAAAGAATGTCAAAGATGCTAAATAGCTGCATACATAATTTGAACTTTCGAAGCAAATACAGCAAGAGCAATGATGCAGTAATAAACAAAACAAAGTAATTTTAATAGGATATCAGCAGACACCTAAAACCACAACTGAGCCAAATGACAAGTTAATAACCTTCATTTTCTTTTAGAAATGTTTATTACATTTGATGCCTTTGGAGCCCAGCTTTTGGCTAGACTACAACAAGTAGCACCATTCAAATCTCCGTTCTTAAGAAGTAATCATCGGTCTTTTCATTATCCTAAGGTTGTGTCTAGATTAAACAAAACAGCAAGCATATCACACGCAACTTAGGGTAAAACAGGCACAATAACCTAAGTTGCTTAACTGATAGTCATTTGAAGGAGTGACCGAGCTTTGCCTAAAAGGGCTACAATGAATAACAGCCGAATGATGCTCCATATACAATATCCTTAAGAAGTAACCATCATGCTTTTCATTGCTCTAGACAAGTCTAGACTAAATGAAACAGCAAACAAGGCACACAATAAGTAATCAATTAGAAACAAGAAGTACAAAGTCTTAAGTTGCTTAACCAATAGTCACTTAGATGACTAAACAAACTTTGCCAATAACAGCCTCTCTGCATTGACCTTAAAGTTCTCTAAAAAATAGATAATCACTCCTATTCCTCATTTAGAACAACAACAAGTCACATATCTCATATATGTATATTGTAATTAAAAACAAAAGAACTAGTAGCAGGAGATTGAAATTAGTTAAAAAGGAACTTGTCATGTAATAATAACTTTAGCATAGCAGCCACAGCCCCAAAATCAGCACAAGCAAAAGTTTGTCTCACAAAATATATTGTGCGAATGATTTTGGCTCACAAAATCTTGATGTCCATTACTATAATTTTTTTTCTAGTATATATAGCAATTTGACTGTTTGATAGAACATTGGTTATATGCAAACCAATAGGACAACTCAGTTGGCCAGAATTACATCAGTAAATGGATCTTTCTTTTTTGTAGGTATTCCACTAATAATATATATACTCAGGAATTCACCAAATTTCAAAATAAGGATTATTGAACTGGGAGCTGGATTCGTATCTTCATTTTTGGCTTGTTTATTTAGGTGAATGGGTTGCAGCAGCACAATTGGATTGAGAAAATATTAACACAATCACCTACTCAAAAAAACGACCATTTGTTTCACAAAGGATCACACAAAACAAATAGCACCAGCAAACTTAAAATAAATGAAGCAGAAACTGAAGAAAAACTACTAAAAAGAAAAGGGAACGATGAAATTTCACTTTTGAAAATATAGTCACATAAAGGAAGAAAAGCTGCTCATAGATTCAAGAAAGACAACAAGCTGACCTTCAAGTTAAAGGATTCCTTGACTAATGATATGAGCTGCAGCAGAAGGAACCTGTCAATTGAAGCATATGTGTATATTAGAATTTATTAATCGGTCTATTACTCATACGGGGAAAATTTGACAAAAAAAAGGAAAGACTTTTTCTCACCAAAAAGACTCCAAAGAAGAAAGTGTAAAGATCAAGATGCTTCTTCTTGCAGTTTATAAGACAGAGGAGCCAACACCATGCACTGATAAATACCTCTATTCCATTTTTTGATTTCGTAATTCACTGGAAAAGTTACAGGCTAAATGAATAGGAAACCTATTTCTTATCATAATTGGAATAAGGGAAAAATCACATAAGATATTTCTCATCATAATCGTACGGCTGATGAGAATTGAATAGAAAGCATGATTTGAGCAGAAAATTGAATGGCAAAGCTAATGAGAATAGAATGTCATACCTAATCCAACAAAAAGTTCCCAATTTCGCTCCTTTGAAGTACAATTATCACGTGAGTGCCCAACAATTCTTGCAACATGAAATCAATAGAAAGAGAAATGGGTTAACATGAAATCAATTCTTGCAACATGAAATGGGATAATTTGATATTAGAGAAAGAGGAAACCACAGCAAGTGTAGACAATAGCAGTTCACCTACTCCTAATTTTCCTCCTTTGAAGTACAAACACCATGTTAGTGACTAGCAATCTCTGTAACATGAAATCAAGTGTCTGCAGGAGTAGCAGTCGACTTACTGGCTTGAAGAAGGAACTCACAAAACCCATCTCCCAAATCATGTAAAAATCCCAACTTTTTGGCTAGAATAGACGTTTCAAATTTGGTTTGGTAGAATAGCCGTTTGGAATTGGATTTGCTCAGAATAGGTGCGCCGAATTTTGGCTCAGAATAGCCGTCTGGTAGAGAGAAAGGAAGAAAAGGCTTCAACGGCAATTTGAAAAGGAAACAGTTCAATGCCAAAAGAAAGAACAGGTTTCGGACAATTTGGAAGGAATATTTGACTTTTCCACATGGCAAAAGAAAAAGGAAAGCACTAATGAGAAAGAAACAGTTCAATGCCAAAAGAAAGAGAAGGTTTTGAACAATTTGAAAGAAATATTAAGAGAAGGCTTCAGACAATTTGCAAGAAATATTTGACCTTGCCACTTGTCAAATAATTAAGAAGCCACTTGGCAAAAGAAAAGGAAAGCACTAAACCTTTATCTTTTCTTATATACAAGGTAGAAATACTAGTGCAGCGGGGCCTTGCCTTCTTCA